AATAATTCAAAAACTTCACTTGCAGAAGTAAAATTGCGCCAAAACTTATCTGAGCCAACTCGGACATCTAAAACCCTATAAAAGGAAGAATATCAACTGACCAATTCAGTCAGTCCAACGAACACAGAGATATGCTAATCAAATCCACGTCGCTTGTAACTATAATCTTCCCGCGCAAACTAAATCACAACCGACTCACTCACAAGCTCGACCTGAAGATTACTCTGTGGACACTGAAACTTCTATCCGAACGACTTTACTTGTCTAAAGTGAATTAATAGTCACTACCATTTTAAGTAAATACCATTATCAAACTAACTCAACATTTACAGTTAAAGGTAGACTACTTTGTGATGACTCAATTCTAAAAACATAATAACGATATTCTAAAAGACTAATACACAAGACACAAAAAAAAGGACATACAAAAAACCTCAAATATTACAAACATACCAACACATTAACATCTTCCAAAACATTCTGTACATATTTTATTTGTATATAAATGCACTTATTGGTTTTGAATTGCATGCATGTTTTTGTCTTGTTTATATCAAAATTGTTTTGTTGTTGTGGATGCAAGAAAAGATCATGCAACCTGACATAAAAAAAAAATCCTTCTGATTTATCTCAATGCTACAGCAAAATCATTAGTTTATTTTGCACATTGCCAACAATGTAACCCTATGAACAAATACATACATATTAACCTTAAACTCTCTTCAGATACCAACAACAATTGAAATTGGGTACAAGAGAATTAAAATAGAACAATATATACTGAACCAAAAATTTGGACATCACAAAGACCAATGTCGAAGCAACCAAACATGTGGAAATTGCCGTTTAAAACAATCCCGACCATGAGGAAAGGGATTGCCCAAATAAAACCAAATGTCCAAACTGCTCAGAAAATCAAGCCTCTTACTCGAAAAAACTTAAAAATATACAAGCAAGAAAAAGAAATAATAGAAGTCGTATATCAGAAAAACAACCTTCCAACAATGCTCGAAAGGAGGTGAAAAATAAAAAAGACACATACACAATAATAACCCAAAAAACAAATAAAATACACAATGAAAACCTACAAGTAATCCTTCAGAAACTCCAAACTTAAGAGAATTAAAAACTATACTTGAAGAACTAAAATCTGTCATATTTGGACTCGGAACAGATTTCAATATCCAAGGAAGAAGCAGAAATGAACCACCTAAGTGAAGTCAAAACTAAAGAAACCAAAAAATCTGAAAATTCTGAACCAAACACTAATGAAACTGCATATCCCTGTGTTAGCAGGAGTTGAAAAATATAATCACGTTGGGGTCACCATTATGTAGTGGACAGTGAAATAATGAATATGTAAAACACACGTGAGTTAAAATTTCCTGCTAGCCAGTCCAGCTACACGAGAAAGTTGGACTTTAATTAAGTCCAAAGAAAACCAAGAAGAACAAACAAGACAAATAAATATATGTAAACAAATATGTATTAATAACAAGTTACAAGGACATGGACAGTTACATTGAGTGCGTGTAGTGAATATTATGTGTGTGTGTTGTAGTGAGTGTTTCTACGTACGTGTATTGTTCTTAGCGTGTTCCCGGAATTTGAGAAACGCTGTATCTGTGAGAGTTCACATCTGTGAGATGGTAAGGCCCAAGGCCTGAGGAAAAAGAGATCGAGGCAAAGGGTCAGCCAGTATTTATAGCCAGGGTGTTGGAAATTTATTTCTAACATTTATGTAAATCCCTATTTTGTAAATACTTTATCTTTATTTTACTTTTATGTGTGTTGATTTTCTGTATTTTGTTTTTTTGGTTTCGTATTACTGTTTTTTTATACGAAACGGCATGCGAGGAAAATTACCCGGGAGGCTAGCTCCGCGGGAATCTACGTCATTCTTAGGCGCCAAATCTTGTTTTTTCGGATCCCGGCGTCAAGAAGACAAGACCTGTTTTTCAAGGCTCCCGAAAGGAGAAACGGCGCACGTGGAGATCTGAGCAATGCTGACTAGGTAGCTAAACGGATTTGGAAGAATACGTTTTGGACCTAAATATCTTCTGGAGAAATAAAGGTTCTCACAAGACTTTATCTCCATTTACTGGCGAGGCTGTTTGAATTCTGCTGTGGTGTTCCTGTTTTAGACAACATTGAAATGTTGAGTTAGATTCACGGGAAGTCTGTGTATAAATAAAGAACGATTCTTTGTCCGCCAAAATATCTTGAAAGGTATTTCGGTTTTTATCCCTGAATCTCTTCCAGAGGAAGGTATCTTAAGCAGGAAGATATCGCCGACAGAACGGGATTCTCCTGAGGAAAAGAGAGATTTTATTCAGCTCGGAGCCCGGTGTTGCTAAAGAAAAGGAGTGTTGAGCCTTTGATACAGACTTGTTAATTTTTTCTCTGTAAGACGATTTCGTCCGTTGAGAATATTGTAATGTAAGTACTTGCCCTGTTTGTATTTTATTGTTTGTGTGTTAAAACATTGTAAGTGCTTAACATTGTATATTTCAAATGTTTGTTTAACCATTTTTATAGGAATCTGTATTGTGAGCAGATCCTTGTTACTTGGCGTTTTATTCTATTCATTTTTGTATAAACGTCCGCAAGGGAAATATTTGCAACGTATTTGTTCTTCCCCCCTGGGGAAATTTTGTAAAAATAAAGCCTTTTCTTTCTAATTTCAAACAAGACTATTTTTAATTTAATTCTTTCCTTTTCCACCTTCCTTTTACCTTTTTTATTTTTTCAGGATTGTTTCTACGAGGTCGGCTTTGTCTGAAAATGGATAAAATTCCGACAAGGGAGAGAGACCCCTGGTGAAGAGTTAAGGAGCTGAGAAGGAGCTAACTCTGACATCCCCATCTCAAAAAAAAAAAAAAAAAAAAAAAAAAAAATCACAAGATCCAATTCACTCTCTAGACAAAAGGAAAACACTGAAAATAGATCCACAATACTTGAAAAAAAAAAAAAAAAAAAAAAAAAAAAAAAAAAAAAATGGAAACAGAACATGAAAGCAAAAACCAAAAAACCCAAAATCAAAATATAAAGACTAATAGGAAAACACTAGAAACTAAAATCAAAACCAAAGACCCCCAAAGACAAACTAAGAACAAAAAAAGAAACAGGACAATCAGAAAACATGGATTTTTAGAATAATACCACAGAGTACGACACTTAAGGAAAAACCTAAACAAACCTTAAAACACAAAGCAATCCAATGAACCAAACAGAAAAAAACAATGATCACAAACACACATAAGATACTTCAATGGAACTGTAGAAGAATAAATACCAATTTTAATGAACTGCAGTTACTAGTAGCAAATTTGAATCCAGCTGCTGAAAAAAAAAAAAAAACAAAAAAAAAAAAAAACAAAAAAAAAAAAAAAAAAAAAAAAAAAAAAAAAAAAAAAAAAAAAAAAAAAAAAAAAAAAAAAAAAAAAAAAAAAACAAAAAAAAAAAAAAAAAACAAACCAAAAAACAAAAAAAAAAACATTAAAAGATATCAACAATACAATTCCATAAAAAACACTGATCTTCGAGCATCAGGTGGCACATCAATTTTAGTCCGAAATGATGTACCCCCACAGTTACATAGAGCTCAAAACAAATCTACAGGCATCAGCCGTTAAGATAACTTTACACAAACAAATTAAACATCTGCTCCATATACATCCCGCCAAATGAAAAAATAAAAGAAAACAAACTGCAAATTATAATAAAACAACTCCCTAAACCTTTTATATTACTCGGAGATTTCAACTGCCATAGTCCAATTTGAGATTGCAGAGATACTAACCAAAAGGGCAAAAATATGGAAAGACTCATAAACAATAATAACTTATGTATTTTCAATAACAATTCCCCAACGCACATATGCCCATACACAGATAAATATTCTGCAGTAGATCTGATCCTATGAGATCCATCCATTCTTATGGATTTCACCTGGTCAACATACAATACCTGCAGAAATGACCACTTCCCCATAATCTTAGAAAGTATAAGCCCAAATTTAGAAGATAAAACACCCAACTGGAATTTAAAAATTTTAATTGAATTGTGATTAATTGTAAATACAATTGAATTTATTAATTTAATTAAGGAATAATAAACACAAAGGCTAAATGTGTAGGATCCAGATCTTATATTATCCTTAAAAACTTCAAATTACAGGCTCCAAATTAAATTGTACACTCGATGCATTTTGATTGGTTTAAAAATGTCAATTAGACGTCGTCAATTATGCCCAAATGTGCCAACCTTGATTTTAGCCTGAATAAAAATACATTTGCGCCAAAAATTCTGAAGCCTACCACATGATGCATATTGTGTATACAGTAGTCAACCACTATTAGGCAAACCAGTTTACCGCAGTACCTGAGTGAGTGGTGAACCCCAAGATTTTGTTCTCATAACCTCAATATCTCTTTTTTTTTTTTTTTTTTTTTTATAGAAATTCCACCCTATTTTACCAATTTTTGGGCCATCTTCACAATAGAACAAACAGCGATCATCAGATGGGTCCTAATTTGTTTTAATAATTACACCCCCTTTTCACATGTTTTACCATGATTTTGGTGATCAAGCAGCCTATATTTTGCGAAATTTTAACATCCCAGCTGTTTCACACCTAATCCAATTGTCTTGGTAATAATTACACAAGATTACTTTATATTTCTATTTCACATGTGATCATAGAGTTCCTATAAAATTGACCTAATTAACAGGAATTCAATCACAGTAATCAGATACCACGGATGGGGTATAAATAAGAGTGCTTTTCTCTGGTTGATCATGTTCTGTTTGACTGTCCAAGAGTAGACATCAAGAATCCCTCATAAATAAACAAATATAAATAGCAAGTAGTAATTAGGGGTCGTAATTGGGAATTCCCAGGAAATTGCGATCCCTACTAGTAATACAAAATGCCTAAATGTAAACCATACACAGTAAAAGAAAAACTGCATTCGATAGATAGGATATGGAATGGTGAAATGAAGGCAAAGATCAGCAGGGATACAGGTGTACCTGAATCCACCCTCAGGAGTTGGTGGGAGAGGAGGAGGAGAGCAAGTTGCAAGAGTTCACACAGACTGTCCATGGGTCAGAAGGACTGTAGAAAGAAGGCCTGGGCAGCCAATGATGAACAGCTGGACAAGGCTATGCTAACCTGCTGGTTTGTGAAAGAGCAGAGCCAAGGGAATCCTCTGTCAGGTCCCATCATGAGGCACCAGGCAGAGAAGTTTCACCACCAGCTCCATGGAGCTGGGGGTGAGAGAGACTTCATTGCCAGCAAGAGGTGGCTCCAGCATTTCCAGAAGAGGCACGGCCTAGGAGCAGCGAAAATGCAGGGAAAGCAGAGGTCAGCTGACACAGCAGCAGAAGACTTCTTCCTAGCCCAGGTGAAGGAAGAAGCAGCAGTAGCACCACCACCACCAGCCAAGAGCCACACTGATGCAGCAGACTCCCTCCACCAGCTCATTACTACCCTACACCTGAGAAACCTTCACAGGAGGACCCAGCTATGAGCTAGGAAAGGCAGGGTGCAGAAGAAGCTCACTGACTTTTTTTTTTTTTTTTACTAAACATTGAGTTGATGGACATTGATGATTTTATTAATATATTTTATTTATTTATATAATTATCGTGCTTATTGTTTGATTTTATCATATGTATAGTAAATGTGATATTCGAGGAAATAAATTTAATTTCTTATATTTCATGTTTTCTGTATTTGTTTTTTCCTTTTACAATGCCGGACTACTTTTCAAACTAGACCATAATGCATTGCAAGAGGAAGTACTTTTGAGGACGGATAAAATTTATTGTATAAAAAATCTGCTGTAAACACTGAAATAAGTTGAAATTTCAAGTAATTTGCTTTTTAAGCCCTGCACTAAGTATGTAATAAAAATTTCCCAAATAGTTATATTTATATGAAAATTTACATGGTTAATTTGAAAATAAAGAAAATTTGATAAAATCTATCTTTTTGGTGTTATTGACAATAAAAGTTATTGACAATAAAAGTTCAAACTCATTCATGTCAAGAATTCAAGTTGGTATAAGGAGCCATAAAGAAACTGCATTAGATTGAAGGAGGCTACAACGAGAATAAGGTTGAGAAATATTGTTCTATGATTTAGAGAAGAGTTTGGTTCAGTTTGTTTTATGGCATATCAACCTCAATGGGTTATTTAATGCTGACAAATTTTTTATTGTTGGTAATATTTTGTTTAGTCAAAAATCTATTTCTGGCAATAATTTTTTCCTTCAAAACCGTATTGCTGGTTATATATTTTTGTTTTTTTTGTAAAAACATTGTTAGTAAATTTTTTTTTTTTTTTTTTAAATTTATTGCTGATAATTGTTTATTGGCTGGCATTTAAAACCTATTTTTATACTTTCATAGTGTTTGACCCCAGTTTCGGGGTTAACTATTTGCCCATACCTGGGACCTTAACAGGTGCTACCACCGCAGGTCATGGTGACCTGAGGATACCAGCGATTAAGAGGTAGTTCCACGCTCCTCAAAACCTCCTGATCAGAGGCCTTGTTGCTGGACGTAGTTTATCATCTTACCCAGGATGCAGATGTAGTTTATCGTCATACCCAGGACGCCCTATTGAGGGGCGTCTTCACCCCTGCAGAAGTGCAATCAGCGTATTCTACAGCAAACAAGGCGGAGTTTAGAGAAGGGGGTTCTCCCGCTGTGTTCAGGGTTTCTGGAGTAGATAAGTTGTCAGTGTCTTGTGGGGACATTCCCTTCGTGCATCTTATTTCAAAAATTGCATGTCGCCCACCTTGCTGTGGTTTCTAATCTTTACTCAATTTTGTTTTGTTTCCTGCAGTTTCCCCCCCCCTTCTCCACTTGTAATTCGTAAGAGAACAATCTGTTAAGTTTTTCACTTGAAGTGCAAAAGAGAGATAAACTAAGCAGGCAAAAAGATTATAGTTATTACTTAAAAATAAAATAATAAAAAAAAAAGCTCGCATTTTCAATCCTCTTGCCATCTTACAATGGGCTCGGTAAACAGAACTAACCAATAAATTCCCTTTCCTCCTTGATTCTATAAGAGTATTCTTCAGTTAGCACACTTATATTTAAGAGAATTTCAACTGTCTTCCTTTACATAATCTAGCAAGGGAAGTAACTCAATGTACTTAAATACGGTAGTCTCCCTTTAAGGAAAGTATAGGATAGTCCGAGAGTTGGCCAAGTCAGTTGATTTTTCTCCACAATTTAGCCAATTATTTTATTTTACAAATAACCAAAAATCTAGACAATAAAGAAAAAAATAAAAATCATAGGTTAACTGATTGAATTTAATTTTATGGTTAAACCAGAATTCGAAAATACAATTTTTTTTTTCTATTTTCAATTTTAATATTGAACAAAGCAAAGGCTATACAATTTACCACACCAAACTACAATGATTGTCGAAAGTTAGAAAATTTACATGGTATTGTGGACTCTTCTAATTTTCTAACCTTCTCCAACCTTAAAAAAAGCATAATCCATATTATACGCCTACGCGCAGATAACGCTCAACCAATAAAATGCAAAGAATCGAATCAAGCAATTCTATTGGTAGATCGCCTCCCAAAGCAAGAATTGCGCCAAAATATCTTGAGCCACTTTTCGAAACCCAAAAGGTTATAAAAGGAGAAAAGACAACCCCAGTCAGTCAGTCTAGCGAACTCGGTGTACTTGTTTTGCTTTTACACCGTTTTTGCTCCTGACCGTGTTAGACATTTTTGCTGTCATTCAAGGACTATTTTTTCTACCTTTTGGACTGCCTTATTTAGTTAAGTTTTTGATTTAATTATTTACCTATTTTTGTCTCTTTTTTTAAATTTGTCATTTTCCGAACTTTCTTATTTTGACCTTTTGTTTTTCCTTTTCATTTCCTTTCCCTTTTTACCGTTACTTTTTTTTTCTGTTATTAGTTATCTCTGTTTTTATTTACGTCTAATTTTTCCAGTACCCACACCCCGGAGTTTATCGCTTTTATTTTTTTCTTTCGTTTTTAATTATTACGTGTTAATTATTTCTGTTACCCGTTAGAAAAAAAAAAAAAAAAAAAAAAATCTACGTGTTTATAATATTTGTTTGTAATTCCTGTCCCTCCTCTTTCTTAACGTTATTGGGTTGACCGTTTTTTTAGCGGCAGCCATTTTGTAATTTGTAACTTTTTTGTGTTTCGTACGTTTTCTTTTTTTCCGTGTATATTTATTAGTTTTATTGTGTAATTTGTAGCTTGCTTGTCTGTTGTACTTGTAATTTTGTTCTTTCTTCGTTTTTGTGAACCTTGTTCACATTTTCTCTCCTGTCCATTTGTTTTACCTGTTTACATTTTTTTTTGCACACGCCCTTCTGTCTGTTGATATTTGTCTTGCAAACCTTTTTTCCTCCCCTTTTATTATTTTTTTTTCTCCCTCCTCCGCCTACAAGGCGGTTTCCCCCCCAGATTTACCCCTCCCTTCCTTCTTATTATTTAATATGGATAAAAAAAAGGAAAAAAGCCACCCTCCTTTTGGCCATAAAAAAAGCCTAAAAAGGCTATACGTAAACACCTTTTTTAATCCTACAAAGAAAGATCCCCGGACAAAGATAACTTAGAGGAATTTCCTGCGCTGGAGACTACTTCCCCTAGCAACATTGATGCTGCTGGGGAAAAAGAAAACGAAAAAAGAAAAAAAAAAATAATATTTCTACGGAAGCCGAAAATGGCAATAATGAAAAGGACTCACCTATGGAGGCCAATAATGGCCAAATTTCAGAAAAATTCCAGATTCCAGAAAAGATCCGCAAACTGAGCCTGAGGCCGGGAATCGCCCTCTTGTTGGTCGTCCCCCTAAGTGCATTATCAATTTAGCGGAGTTCTTGGAGCGTGCCAAAAGTTACGCACACCTTGTTGTAGAAGGTGGGCTTTTGAAGACCCCAAGAATTGAAAAAAATTGACAAAAGAATAGTGTCTGTTTTCGTCGTGGACAAGCGTACGCGCAAAATTTGTCGCTCGACGAAAACACAGTGTTAAAAGCACTGGAATCCTTTGGGTTCAAGCCCTTAGAATAGTTAAGGGTGCTAAATTTTTCATGGGGACGTACTGTTGCCCACATCAGAAGATTGCGTCGCCGCGGCTAGCCGCGAGCTTATCAACAAGGAGATCATTTTGCGTACTGAGTACGAGGGCCGACGTAAGACCAGGGTAACGGTATACGAGGTCCCTCCTCAGGTTATCGGGGAACATCTCGCGGCGTTCTTCTCCCAGTATGGCGAGATTCTGGGAGCTTCCTGTGATAGCCTGAGCGGGGGTGGAGCTTTGACATCATGTTGACGAGAAAGCCTTCCGCCCATCCCCAACTGTCTGGATGTTGGCGCCTTTGAAATTACCGTCATTGTGACGGGTCGAGACCGTATGCTGGAGGTGTGGAGGACTGGTCATCTCCTCCTCCTGCCCAGAGAAGAAGGCCTCTGGAAGTCAAGCGCCAGTTACTCAAGATCCCCTCTGACCGCTGTCTCTAAATTCCGCCTGTAATGGGCGTTTCCAGCCTCCGGGACCGGTCGGTTAATCCTCCGTCGGGCGCGACATCAAAAGCCACATTCCCCAAAGAGCCTTCGCCCGCTGCCGGTGCAGTTGTGGAGAAGGGGAGGGGGAATGGCTGGTTGCTGGTAAGGCCAGAGGGAAGCGCCGGACAGCGGGTCCTCAGTCCCCTGATGCCCCTAGGAAGAAAGGCACATACAGCCCCACTCCCTCTAACAACGCTAATGGCGATGCCCGCCCTCTGAAGAATCATTTCAGGATAAACAAAAGAGATTTGATCCCGGTTATGAAAAGTCCGAGAAATTAAAAGAGTTGAAAAGAAACTGGATTCGGAAAGAAAAGAACCAAGCCCTTCTACGTCCCTCTAATAGACCCACCCCTTCTCCAAAGAAACAACCCCCTCACCATCGCCTACTATTTCACCATCTAAGGCCAAACCTACCAGCAGAGATCCCAGCCCCTACAGACACAGATCTTTTTATACCCCCATGAACACACCCACTCCTTCCCCCGTTAAACAAAAACCCCCCCCTTCATACCCCCCTAGCAATCACCGCAAAAAATGCCGAGATGCCTCCTCCTGCTCCAAAGAGGCAAAGAAGCCCCACTCAGGAAGAAAGGAGGAAAAAAAGATTCATTTTCAACACAGGAGAGGAGGTATGCCGATTTCCCCAGCCCAGGCCGAGAGAGCCAGGGACTACGGCAATAGAGTGAAAGAGCTAAAATACCTTCTCTCAATAAAGCAGTTCATTGATTTGGACATTGAATATCCTCAAAATTTCCCAAATGCCCAGAGGGTCCTGACAGTTATTAGGTCAGGACCTGCGGCTAATCAAGCCTGGGCTATGGTGGAAGAAGCGGTAAATGCCTGTAAGATGGCTTTGCCCATCGCCATTGTAGAAAATGACAAATTAAAAAATTAAACAGTTCTGTGCAGGGAGGGTCCCCGTTTTAGTTCACCCATCCCTGTATAGAGCTCT